TCCCCAGCACTTAGCACAGTGCCTGGCACACAGTAAGCACTTAAGGGATGATTGCTGACTGAATGATCCCTGATTTGGTCCATGTTGATACTGGTCCCACTGAGGTAACTCCTCCATCACCTCTCTTCTTATTTGCATATTCCATTTATAGGGGATAACCTACATAATATAAAGCAAAATGTGACGTATCATAAGAGAGAGGAAAAGCTGCATGGGAATTCAGAGGGAGAGGTTAATGTAGCTAGGGGAATCTGGTCATGAAGGAGGTAGTATTTGAGATGGGCTTTGAAGGATGGTGAGGATTTTGACAAGGGAGGGTTCTAGGTATGGAGAAAAACATGAACATAACTTTTCTGAGAAAAGACACGGTAGCAGCAAGATAACCATCTCAAATATTTGAAGGATTCTCCCATGGAAGAGGGATTAGGCTTGTTCTATTTGCAACAAGGGGGTAGAAAGGACAAGGAGGAAAATTTAGTCCAATTGGCATAAGAAAAACTTTTTAACAATTTGAGCTATCCCCTCAAAATGGAAAAAACTACCAGGTAGTGAGTTCCCTCTTACTCTTGGATATAGATTGTATTATATATTAGAGCCTCTGAGGTCCCTTTCAACTCTGACATATTATCAAAATCCTGTAGGTAGGAAAGTAAGTGTAAGATGTTGTTAGGCAAAGATGAGTGGTCCAGTCTCACTGGAATAGGTTCACAGGTTCATAGATTTACAACTGATAAGAGTCCTTGGATGCCCTCTATCTTAACCCCCTGGTTTTACAGATGAGGAAACTGAGGTCCAGGAGTATTCAATAACCGAAATCCACCCAAAGTCACATAGGTAGTGACAGGGGCCATATAAATACAATACGTGAGAGGAGGTAGTATGAGATAAAGCTGGAAAGATAAGTTGGAGCCAGATTGTAAAGGACCTTGAATATAGGGCTGAATGCTTTATACTTAAGGCAGTGCGGTGCTACTGTGCCTTTTTTGAGTAGAGGAGATCAGATTCTGCATATAATGTTTTTATGGAAACATCTTTGTGCAAGTTGGTAGAAAAGAATACCTTTCTAAAGCCTTCCTGAATTAAAAATTCCTTGCCAAAACAGAAAGTGGTAATAGGAAGCTGATTTATCCAAGAGTCATTTAAAAATGGTCATCTAATTGACTCAGTCATAGACGGCCTGTCTTGAATTCTGTTAGTGGTGAATAGTGTTTGCATTTGTTTAAAAGATTCTATTCTCCTGCTTTATCATCTAAGAAAACTATAATTTTATTATTCCAAAGCATCTGATTTGACCCTAAATCAACCAACTTTACATTTCAGAAATTAGTAAGTTTTTTCCCATTCTTCACCAAAACAATTGCAAAAGTGAGTTTCACCATGGTCTAATTTCTTTCTGAAATCAAATGCAAAGGAAAGAAATGGCGGAAAGGTGGAAAAGAAAAAGGTATCAAAAACTCAACTATTGCTAAAATATTAAGACTATCACTGGGCAAAACTATCTTTGGGATTGCCATTTTTTCCTCAAGGAAGAGAACAATCATTGTAATTTTAATCTTTGAAGTTTAGGGATGAGCAGTCTTAATGGTTTTTACTTAGCTATCTATACTGTGGGGGATAGAATTGAGGAAGACCACAGTACTGATATGATTTGACCCACGATCAGAATTGATTTGGGGAGCTTCCAAAAGAATTTAGGAGCTTAAGGCTCTCAGCTCTTAGCTCAAAATACATTGACATACTAGCTTTGCATAGTCAGTGACTGTATGTCTAGATCAGGAACAAAGGGCCATGATCACACTAGTATTTGGGAGATGGGGTCCTATTTGTGGCCACTGGGCCCCATCTGCAACTCTCTCTCCATTCCCCTATCTCCAACCGGCTACGACATTTTTGTATGCCCCCCAATTATTTATGAGGCCCTGGTACATAAAATTTTCCACATAAATCCCTGTGGGAAGGTTATTTTAACCACAACAGTCACAAGCCAAATATGACTTTCATAAACATTTTGTAGGTCACAGAAAAGAATGTAAATCACAGAGGCAGCCTCAGGCGGGCATTCATTCCTGCCTTCCGATGACCCCTACAGTGTGCGAATGATGTCTCTCTCTGTAGGTCTCCTATTGCGGCAGAGCTCGGAAATGGGAATGGTACCCAAGGGAACACCTTGGGGAGGTGGGGTCAAGGGAAGGGTAACCTGTTTTTAACGTATCAACAGGCTAGGCTGCGCTGCAAGAGGCTGCAAAAGAGCCAGGATTCCTTCCGGCCAGGACAATCTCCAGGAGGGGCACTGTGCTCTCTTCCCGCAAAATCTTCTGCCAAGGGCAAGCTACAAGCGCTCTCTTCTTCATTCCCTTCCCTCAGCTCCCAGATTGTCCTCTTCCCCTACCGAAGGGCACGAGCCTTTCCTGTTTACCCAGCTGAGTTCTCCACCCAGGGGAAAAAACACCCTGGTCGCCGAGCAGGCAGGAGCAGGAGCTGCAGCCATCACCTCCTTTTGACTCCTCAACCCCAGCCCCTGATCTCCAGACCTTCCCCCCAACCCCATCCCCACCCCCATCCTCCTCCCCATCCCCATCCCCCTCCTCATCCCCCTCCCCATCCAGCCTCAGCCCCCCGCGTCTCTCTCATGCACGTCCTTCCCGGGCCCCGGTTCCGCGCACTCACGCTCCACATCGTGCAGCTTGGCCCGCTCCTCCTCCAATTTGCTCTTCAGGCTCTCCGCCTCGCTCTTCAGAGATGCCAGGGTCTCGTTCTCGTGCAGCCCCTCGGCTGCCATCTTTCCCGGTCGCGGGTGGAAAGAGGAGAGGAGAAGAGGAGAGGTGAAGGGGAGAAGAACAGGAGAGGGGGGAGGAGGAGGATAGGGAGTATGAGGAGAAGGCGGGGGCTGATGCTGATGCTGTGGCTATTGCAGCTCCAGCTGCTGTCTCCCGGAGCTACTGGCCTCTACTTCCTCCCTCCCTCCTCCCTTTCCCGTCACTGTGACGCTGCGGGTGGATGGGGAGTCGCTTTTCCTCCAGGCTGCCTCGGAGCCCCTGGAGGGGGGCGGCCCCTCCCCAGCCTGGGGTTGCTAAGCGGAGTGGGGGAGACTGGGCGTGGCCTGGTGCCTCCCCCCTCCAAGGTGCTGGAGAGGTGACCTTCGACTAGGGCTCTCCCTCCCAGCTACTCCCCGCACATGCTACCCTAGGAGGAAGGATCAGTTTGGGCTGCAGGAGACCCCTGACCTCACTCAGCCTCGGGGGTGGTTGGCTGGGTGAGGGGCTGGTGCAGATATATTTGATGAGAAGTAATTGATCAGTGATATGATACCACCGGAAGGACTCCATTTACCTCCAGGGAGTATCATGAAATGTTCAGTGTTTGTCTTGACTTTGAGTAAAAAAATAAAATTCACCAGATGGCCCACTGGGGCCATTGATATTGGGGAAACCGCACTTGCCTTGCCACCCCTCCCTACCCCACCCTCACCTGCTGAATAGACAGTGAGAAGGACAGGTGAGAGTAATGAGTTAGTGCTAAAGAAAAGAGATGAGGCCTTTTAAAGTATAATCAGTCAGCTCAAGAAACAAGAATTTCTTAAGGATTCACTACGTGCCAGCATTGTGCTAGGTGCTGGAGGTACAAAAGAAAAGCCAGAACAGTCATTGCCTTCAAGAAGTTTACATCTACACCCTTAGCTCTTCTCCAAGGTGACCAAGGAAGGGGTTAAGTCATCCAACTTATACACTTTGCTTTTCCAGCTGACATGATGTTTGTGGCAATTGGATTTCACAGGTATGAAAATGTTGATGGGAGACTCTGGGGTGTGATTTCCCCAATCCCCAATTGTCTTTAGAGGGGTATAGTAGGGATGGGATAGAATGGGATGGCATAGCACAGAAGGGAGAGAAGAAATGGGCAATGTTGCAAACTCAAAGAAGAAATCATTTCAGCTCAGATGGGATAGTCAAAAGCGCCCTAGATTTCAAGTCAGATGGCCTGGTTTCAAATCCTGGCTCTGCCACTTAACTGTGTGACCTCAGGAAAGTAATTTAATTAACTTCACTGTGCCTCACTCATTTTCCCCATCCATGAAATAAGGGGAGTTAGCTAGCAGATCTCTAAGATCCCTTCCAGTTCTAAATCCTGATCCTATAAACTCCAAGAGGACTAGAACTAACAGATCAGGGGACTAGGATCTTGGGGGAAGAGGAAAAGTGAAAGTTAATTTGCCTAAATTTATCAAAATAATAGTCCAATTAGTATGGCTGTTTTATCTCTTTTACCAGGGTAAGGATTGCATTGCATTGCACATTTTATTAAGCATCATCTTTCCCGTGTCTAGTGGAACCTGTGACATCCCTCAAAACCTTAATGATTTTTTTAAAGGTGTTATTGGGCTCATTTTCTCACCTCTGTAATGAGGGTGTTCTGATTAGATTCCCTATGAGGTCCCTCCCAGCTCTAGATCTAAGATCCTTGGTTGTAGAAATACTGATTTAAGTGAGTGCAATAGTCACAGCTGTCCAGAGATAGAATGGAATGCTTCTGGAGAGGGTGAGTTTCCTGTCACTGAAGATCTGAAGGTAGAGGCCGGCTGGCAGGGCACCTCCCAAATGTCATTGATATTTCCTTGCCTGAATCATGGGGCTAATTTCTCTGGAACTGGAGCTGTTTATCATATTACATGTTGCCTTAGGGCTCTGGATTTCTTTTGGCTCTTTTATTGCCCCCCCCCTCCATTTTTGTCAACTTCCAGAGAAAAGATGTTGCCTGTGGGCTACAGGATTAAACATGAAAAGTCAGTTTTCACATTCATTGGACTCTTGAACATTCACTCTTGATAGTGTTTGGATTCCTATTAGGGAATCTCTAGAGTTTATTAGATGGCTGGGGGCGGGGCCGGGGAGGGATTGAGCAAATGGTCAGACTCTTGTTTTAGGAAGACCAATCTGACAACTGAATGGAGAATAGACTGGAGTGGAAGGAGATTTGTGTCAGGGAGACCAACTAACAGATTCTTTCTCTGAGGGGATCTGATTCCAGAAATCAAATCCTTGAAGATGCCAGGCACAACCACTCTGATATAGGACCTCATCACCTCATGGTTGGACTAGTACAATAACCTGTTGGTTGGTCTCCCTGCCATGTCTTCCTCTACTCCAATCTACTCTCCACTCAGTTGTCAAATTGATCTTTCTAAAACAAGAATCTAACAATTGCCCCTGCCCCATTTAAAAAGCTCTTTTTTGTTGTTGTTCAGTCATTTTTAGTCATGTCCAGCTCTTTGCGACCCCATTTGAGATTTTCTTGGCAAAGATACTGGAGTGAGGGGGGCAGCTAGGTGGCGCATTGGATAGAGCACTGGCCCTGGTGTCAGGAGGACCTGAGTTCAAATGCAGCCTCAAACACATAACACTTACTAGCTGTGTGACTCTGGGCAAGTCACTTAACCGCAACTGCCACCCCCCCCCCCGCCAAAAAAAGATACTGGAGTAGTTTGCCATTTCCTTCTCCAGCTCATTTTACAGATGAGGAAACTGAGGCAAAAGGGTTCAGTGACTTGCGTAGGTTCACACAGCTAGCAAATATCTGAGGCCAGATCCAGGCCTGGCACTCTATCTACTTCGACACCTAGCTGCCCTAATAAACTCTAGAGGCTCTCTAATAAGGATCCTCTAAGATCAAATATAAAATCCTTTTACTTTCAAAGCCCTTCATAACCTGGCCTCTTCCTACCTTTCAGTTACATTATCTCCCTTCCCCCCATGCTCTTTGAGCCAGCGACACTGTCCTTCTTCCTGTTCCTTGAACTTGACCCTCCATCCTGTGCCCCATGCCTAGAATACTCTCTTTTTGTCTCTACCTCCTGGCTTCATTCAAGTCTCAACTTCAAGAAGCCCTTCCCAATTTTCCTTAATCTGGGTGCCTTCCCTTTGAATCTACCATCCACCTTCTTTATCCTGTCTGTATCTTGTTTGTACGTAGTTGTTTGTATGTTATTTCCTCCTTTAGACTAAGCTCCTTGAGAGAAGGGACTGTTTTTTCTTTTTCTTTGCATATCCAGAGCTTAGCACAGTTCCTGGTCCATTGTAGACACTTAATAAATACTAGTAGATGGACTGATTGGTAATATTTCGGAACTTCTAGGACCTAGGTGGGGATTTTTTTTTTCTAGGCAGGGAGTCACACCTAGTCTTGCAAATCTACTCATATAGGTAGTAATTTAGAGAAGACCATTCCACTTGGAGGCCATCTCTTGCTCAGGAGTCAGAGTGACTTTTCCAGAATTGTTAGAGCAACAAGAGAAGACAAGATGACATCCATGACCCTGTGGAAAAAAGTTTGGATGGCTGATATTCTTCAATATTTTTGGATAAAGCTTATTTTGGGGGGCAGGATATGATGAAAGGGACATAGAGTCTTCCAAGCAAACTGGGGGATCAAGCAGTTGTCACAGATGTATAAAACAAGGGCTATTTCATGGGGTTCTAATTACATAAAATACATGTATTCTTAAGAGGTTTTTGTTTTCAAGAGCATACTTCTTATGTTATTTTTAATGACTTTGCATTAAACCATTTCAGATTCAGATTAGCTCTTAGTGGAACTTTTTCAAAGTCCCATTAAGGAAACTCTGGGGCAGAAGGAGTAAGGTCTAATCAGGTTTTCTAGCATTTCCTAAAGATTTTAGATATTACTTGTATGAGAGGTAGAGTTGAAGATATCATTACTAGAATGGGATATAAGAAAATATCTTTCTGACAAACTTAGCTTTCCCTTCTCTTGACTAGGTTGTTGACCTAGTCAAGGTCAACAAGTGGTCGGGGGACTTCATTTCAGTCTACTGTTTTTGGTAACTCAGCCTTTTCTCAGCTTCTTGCGCCCAAGAGTCCCCAATTCACTTATAGTCTCTTTAGGAAATGAAAATTGTGCATGACTGATTGAAGCTGAGCTTTCAAGATTGTCTCTCAAGGACCAAACAGCTAATGGTGAGGCATCACTGTGGTTTGGTTAAATACCAGTTCATAAAAAGAAATCCCTCTTTGAGACTGCGGCTCTAGAGCCTCCCAACATTTGAGTGAAAATGGAAAACAAAGCAAAATGTCAGTACATATTTGTAAACTTCTGGAGAATACAGAATGGCCCCCAGAAAGTACATGGATAGCAAGCATATCTTGTATCTGCCTTTAAGGACTATGAAGAATCAGGACTAGGCTCTGTGGCATATCTGTTTAAAAGCAGAGCACTCCAGGTTCCTATGCTCCTTGTATACACAGGGGAAGGCATTAATAAACCCAGTTAACAAATGGTAGGCATTTAGCCTGCCAGAAAATAGGGTTATTTTAAGAGCTGAATGTCCCTTTTTTCATAGTACATAGAAGTAGGGCATAGCCAATAAAGCAGAACTTTGAACAATATGTGCTTCAAATAGAATCCCCTTTTCATAGTTCTTAAAGAAATTTCAGAATTAAAGGTTGCAATCAAAACTCTTTAATATGGATGCTTAGTGCCATTTTAAAAAATTTACTTCCTTAAACTATATGTTAAGCACATGCTATATTTGCCAATAATAATTCACTTGTACATAGGCTTTCTTTATAACAGTCTTGTAAAGTAGGTGTTATAAATTGTCATTATACTCATTTGACAAATGAGGAAACTGGAACTCAGAGGTTAAGTATCTTGTTCACAGTTATACATAATAAATGTGAGAGCTGGGACCTGCTCTATAATAAATAAAAATGTAAGAGAATACATATGATATAAATTAGACATAGGCTAATAAATATACATAATAAATGAGAACAGAGATCCTCTGATTTTAAGTCTGGTTCTTTTTCAACTATGCTGTATTACATTATGTTGGCACTTGAGAGGGTTAAATATTTGTTCCAGAGAATGTCTATTTTGGAATGGACCTTCAAAGTCACCTTAGTCTAGTGTCTGAAAATTGCAAACTTGATCAAAGGGAGATAAAGCAAGTTGCCCAAAGCTATACAGCCAGTCAGCAACAGGGCTGGAACTCAGACCCTGATCATCTCTCTGCAGACCCATGGCACTTTCCCCTATGCCAGTCTCACTGTCTTGTTGTTAAAATTGTATTTGAATTAATAAAATATTCTTTAAAAGTTGGTGTGTTTTTTGAAAATGCACAGTGGTTATTTGGGGTTTTATAAAATTATACCTTGGGAGTCAGGATGGCATAGTGAGAAAAACATCAGACCTGGCATTGAGACACTGGGGTTTGAATAGAAGCTATGACAGTTGACTTGTGTGATGAATCACTTCACTTCTCAGTCTCAGTTTTCTTAACCATGAAATGGGGCAACTAACATGCTGCCTATTTTATAGGATTACAGTGTATATTATATGAGCCACCACTACTATTCATTCCTTTATTTATCATGCTCATTACTAGGTGGAGAACGTAAATCATAAGCCAAAACTGGATGGAGAAAAATGATGAAGTCTTCTCTTTTTTTTTCCACATTTGAGGAGCTGGGCTTTATGTTTTGCAGTCTTCATTTTGTCTTAGCTTTACTCCAGGGCCCAATAAATAGCAAGTACCATGAACCCTCTCCCCTTTCATTTCAGTAGTGGAATGTGACATGTGTTGGGAACAGTGATATGGGGTATCCCTTAGCAAAGATCTGCAGCAGTGAACGTGCCTCAGGCACAACCAAGGTAGGATGGAGTCCTTGGCTGCAATATGGGGATATTCCTTAGAAGGGATCTCCAAAACAGCAGGTATTGAGTGTGTGTGGGCATCTAATGCATGCTGTACCATTTCAGCAACATACTGGTTGATAAGGATGATACCAATGTCATCCTGATTTAGAAACTGCTGGAAGGTGTCCTCGATTTCATTGATGTTCGTGGCCTTCTCCATCACAAGAAGTTTGGGTGGTGATGCTTGTTGAGCTCCCCGATGCCACCCAGCAGAAAACCAGTAATGGTGTCCTTGTCTCTGACATTGCAATCAGCTTCCATTGCCTTGCCATGGTAGATGTTGCTAGGCTGCTGTCTCACCTGTCTTCTCTATTTTTAATTTTTATTTTTTGCACCATACCTGTGATTCACTGATATCAGGAGCTCCTTCCATTAGTACAGATCAATACCTGCTCTGCAACATGAAGTTAGGGCACAGGTTCTTAATTGGGGGCTGATCTATGGAGCCCCAAACTTGGATGGGAAAAAATTGACATTTGTTTTCATTAACCACTAACTGAAATTTTACATTTCCTCTGATTATGAATGTTGGCAACAAACATTATTCTGAGAAGGGGTCCTCAGGTTTCACCAGACTTCCAAAAAAGGGGTCCATGACAAAAGAGTTAAGAACCCCCATCTTGGAGAGGTGCCTGGGGCACTTATATGACTTGTCCAGGGTCAACCAGCCATTGCAAGTGTCAGAGGAAGTACTTCATCCTGAGGTTCCCTGATTTCTTTGGCCTATTATCTAGCCACTGTAACAAGCTTCTTTGAATTATCTTTTCTAAATTTAAGGAGATCATTATTCCTGATTCTCCCCTCGCCCCCAAAGTTTCAAAACATCTTCGGGTTGTTTGTTACTCTGTAAGAGCTAAGCCCTCCGCAGCACAGTATAGGAGAATTTTTCTCTACTAGATTGCTATAAGGGTTTGTGTGTGTGTGTGATAATTCCTATTCTCAGCCACGTAACATTGAGAGGTGAAATCACTTTCCTAGGGTACCTAGAAAGGAGTCTTTAGGTGCTTACAGCCCTTGCTTTCATTCAGCACTCAGCTTACTACTGTTCTAGGGAACTTCAATCTTCATTCTTCAAATGAGCACAAATTTCTCATGAAGCCTAAGGGGTTATTCTAGGATTTTTTCTGGAGTGGTTTTTCAAAAGTCACCAGAACAGGGTTGTGTTTATTGAACATTTTCCCCACTCAGTTTTGTTGTGTATTCCACAGATAAGCAATTGAGAGAAAAGAAAGTGTTAATAATAATAATAATAAATAATTAGCATTTATGTAGCTCTTTACAAAGTGCTTTTTGAATATTATTTCACTTTATTCTCATAACAACCCTTGGAAGGTGGGTATTATTATTATCTCCATTTCATAGATGAGGAAACTGAGGCAGACAAAGGTAAAGTGACTTGCTCAGGGTCACACAGCTAGTATCTGAGGTGGAATTTGAACTCAGGTCTTTCTAATCCAGTGATCTATCTACTGTATCATCTAGCTATCTCCAGATGAAATATAAAGTGTATTTTTATCTATAGATCCCTAGCACCTCACACAGTTCCTGGCTTATAGGCACTTAGTAAATGCTTTTTGAATGAAATTACATAGGTGAAAATACTTGTGCTGTTTAAACATGCCACATGCAACTGAAATTCGCACCTTTATTTTAAAAGTCCAGAATACTTAATAAAAATCGGTAATCTTACCAATGCTGCACATACTGAACAGTAGCTGAGTTGTTGAGATCGGATGAAAACTGGCCTCAAAGCCCTTTGCTTGAAACATTTGTCACAGGAACCAAATACATTAACTAAAAATGTCTGATCACACATCTTTTATGCAGGGTAGTACTGAAAAAGAAAAAGAGGTATAAAGTTAATAGGAACAGATTCTAAAATATTTTCCTTTTTTTATAATAGCAAATGGATCAAATGAGATTATATTTAAAAAAGCCCTGCACACCTTAAGGATATATATGGTATATTTCTGTCTGGATTTGTGGTTTCATTGATGTAGGAAAATTCCAGTGAAGAAAGGACTTCTATTAATGCATGTCAGCAACTGTTCTGCCACTGATAGTTGCCTGAGGGTAAAGAGAAGTTAAGTGACTTGCCCAGGGTCACAAAACAGATATGTGTTAGAAGTGAAATTTGACCTCAGGCCTTCCAGAATCCAAGTCCAGATCTCCAACCACTATGCTTTCTCCCATATAAATGTTAGTTATTGTCATCACCAATTAACAACTATTTTTGAAGTACCTATGTGCCAGGGTTCTCACTTTATAACATGTACACATATTTTTGTTGTTCAGTCACGTACGACTCTCCATGACCCCTTTAGGCGTTTTCTTGGCAAAGATGCTGGAGTAGTTTGCTGTTTCCTTCTCCAGTTCATTTTACAGATGAGGAAACTGATGCAAACAGGGTTAAGTGACTTGCCCAAGGTCACATAGCTAGCTAGAGTCTGAGGCCGGATTTGAACTCAGGTCTTCCTGACTGCAGGTCAGGTGCTCCATCATTGCCCCACCTAGCTGCCCTATGTACATATGTAGATGTATACAAAATAGATGTAAAGTGATGGAAAGAAGACATTAACAACTGAGAGTATTAGGAAAGACTTCATTTAGCAGGCAGTTCTTGAGCTGAAGATTGAAGAAACTCCTAAAAAGCAGAGGTTAGCAGAGTAGATTCCAGGCATGGGGGACAGACAATGCAAAGACATGGAAATGGGATGGTATGCCATGTATAAGAAACAATCAGACCAGTTTGGTTGGATCAAAATGCTCTTAAAGGGGAGTAATCTAGAATAAGCCTGGAAAGGTAGCTTGGGTCTAGGTTGTGAAGGGCTTTAAGTCACAAACTGAGGCATTTATAGTTAATCCTACAGATAATAGGCAACTGCTGGAGTTAAATGAGTAGGAGAGTGAAGTGGTCAAATCTGTGCTGTTAGGAACATCACTTCAACAGCTGTGTAGAGGACAGATTAGAGTGTGGAGAAACTTGAATGAGGGAGATCAATTAGGAGATTGGTGTAAAAGGCCAGGTGAGAAGTGATGAGGGGGTGTGCTAGGTCGGTTACTTTGGGAGTGGCGAGGTATCATATGGATGTGTTCCAGAGATGTTGAGGAGAGAAAATGATCATATCTGACAACTGGATTGATCTGTAGGGTGAGCGAGATGCGGAGTTGAGAGGATGACACTAAGGTTATGCATTGTGGTGACTGGAGGGATAGTGTTGCTCTTAATAGTAATAGGGAAGGTTTGAAAGAGGGGTGGATTTTGAGGAGCAAGAGAATGACTTCTGTTTTGAAATGTGGAGTTTTAGATACTTATGGGACATACATTTTGAAATGTCTTATACAATGTTTATGCGCAGGACTAGAGCTCAGGAGAGAGATGAGGCTTGGATTTAGAACTGGGAGTTCTTTACATAGAGATAATTATATAATGGGAGCTGAGGGGGCCACAACAAGAGAGATTAGAGCAAGGGTTCTTAACCTGGGGTCCATGAACTTGTTTTTATTTATTTATTTTAACATTCATTTTTTAAAAAATTGAGTTCCAAATTCCCTCCTTCCAGCCCCTCCTCCACCCATTAAAGCAAGCAATATGATACCCATTTATGAACTTGTTTTTAAAAAATACTTTGGTAATTGTATTTCAGTATAATTGCTTTCTTTTGTAATCTTATGCCTTTTATTTTATGCATTTAAAATATTCTGAGGGGGCAGCTAGGTGGCAAAGTGAATAGAGCTTCGGCCTTGGAGTCAGGAGGACCTGAGTTCAAATTCGGCCTCAGACGCTTGACACTTACTAGCTGTGTGACCTTGGGGAGGTCACTTAACCCCGATTGCCTCACCGAAAAGCAAAAAAAAAATCTGAGAAGGGATCCATAGGTTTCATTAGACTGACAAAGGAATTCAGGATACAAAAAATAGATATAGATATAGAAGGAGAAAAGAAGGGGTTCATTGATATCATCATCCAGATAGCTTTATGCTTGATAAAGTTTCAGAGATTAATTGCTTGATACACCACTTGTTTCTACACAACCCCAAACAACAGCTGACTCTAGATAAAATGCATGTAGAGAGAGAAAAACTCTATATCAGATTGCCTAAATTTTATGTTTTTGTAATTTTTTAAAAAGTGTATATAAAATCAGAAGTATTTATCTTTTCCTCTAACTCCCCCTTTCCCCCTCCCCCCAACCAAATAAGAGAAAAGAAAACTTTTGTGACAAACATGCATATGCAAATTCACCATATTGGCCAAATGTGTATCTCATTATTAATTTTAAGTTCATCAGATCTCTAGTGGGAGATGGGTAGTAGTTTTTTCTTTATGCCCTCTGGACTTGTGGTTTATTGTTTCATTGATTATAGTTCTAAATTTTATTTCTTTTTCAAAGTTGAGTTGTTGTTTTTGTCATTGTATCAATTGCTCTCCTAGTTCTGCTTGCTTCATTTTGCATCAGTTCATTCGAATTTTCCCAGTTTCCTGGGAAACTATTTCATCATTTCTTGTGGCCCTATAATATTCCATTACATTCACACACCATAATTTGTTTAGCTCAGCAGTTCTTAAAGGTTTCAGTCTCAAGACCCCTCCTAAAAATGATTGAGGATTCTCCAAAGAGCTTTTGTTTGTGTGGATTATAACTGTTGATTTATTGTATTAGAAGTTAAAGCATCTTAGTATTATTATGGAAATAGTTTTGACCTCTTGGACTCCCTGAAGGGGCTTTAGCGTAGGTTTTGAGAACCACTGGTGTAGCCATTCCCTGACAGGTGGACGCTGCCTCACTTTCTGGTTTTGGGCTCCTATGAAGAGAGCTGCAGTAAGTATTTTTATATGTATGAGTCCTTTTCTTTAATCTCTTTCAGGTCTAGACCTAGTAGTGATATGACTGGGTCAAAAGCTATGGATAATTTAGTAACTTTTGAGGCATATTTCCAAATTGCTGCTCAGAATTACTGAAACAATTTACAGCTTCACCTACAATGCGTTAGTGTGCCTGTTTTCCCGAAGCCTCTCCAATATTTGTCATTGCCCTCTTTTTTTCCTCTCTGCAAATGAATATGAGGTAAAACTTCAGAATTGCTTTAATTTGCATCTCTCTAATTATTCGTGATTTGGACCATTTTTGTCATGTTGTTGATAGCTTGGTTTTTTTTTCTTTTGAAAATAACCTGTTCATATTCTTTGACTTTGTTGGGGGAATAGCTCTGAGTCTTATAAATTTGAATTATTTTCTTATATAGCTTGTGTATGAGTCTTTTATCAGATATTTCCCTCATTTATCTGTTTTTCTTCTAATTTAAACTGCATTAGATTTGTTTGTGCAGGGCATTTTAAGTTTTAGGTAATAAAAATTATTCATTTTATATTCTGTCATCCTGTCTCTTGTTTTGTCATGAACTCTTCTCCTTTCCATATCTGAAATGTAATTTCTTCCTTCTTCTTCCAATTTGCTGATTATATTACCTTTTATCTAAGTCATGTGTCTACTTGGAATATATATTAACATGTGGTGTGAGATATGGTCTATACCTAATTTCTGCTTATTTGCTTCCTAGTTTTACAGCACTTTTTGCCAAGCAATGAGTCCTTACCACTAGCTGGAGGTTTGGGATTTATCTAACACTATGCTACTGCATTCCTTCATTTCTGTATGTTGCGTACCTAATCTATTCCACGGATCAACTTTAAAAAAACAAACTAGTATACTTAATTGGTTTAATATTTGCTGCTTTATAGGATATTTTGAGATCTGGTACTGACAAACCTCCTTCCTTTCTACTTTTTTCATTATTATCCTTGATATTCTCAACCTTTTGTTTCTCTATGAATTTTGTTTTTTCTAGTTCCATGAAATAATCAATTTATACTTTTTAACTAGTTAGAACATTAGCATTTTTACATGTGTTGTATTTCCCAATCAAAATTTCGGGCATAATAAGTAAATAATAAAGAACATTTTGACATTTCTATGACTTTAGAGCAAGCATCTAGGTATATAACTTGTTCATTCTTCAGCCACATACAGGATGTACCAAAAAGTTTTAGTGCAGTTTTAAACTTTAATAATAATCTTGTCCCAGGATCTCTATGGGATGAGGAAGTCATGGCCAGCTAGGACTTTACATAAAAATAACTTTGGAGTTTATTTAACTGCAGAAAGCTTCCTAGAGATGCCATTTGACTTAGGCTTTAAAAGATGGGTGGAAAATCAACAGGCAGAGAAGAGAGAGCATTCTAGGTATAGGAAATGGCTCAAGAAAAGGCATGAATGTTAGAGAATATAATGCATGTTCAGAAGTCAAAGTTGCGTATGTGTAAGGTACTGTACTTTCATCAAAGATAGGGGGAAATGACATAATTCCTGCTTTTACAATCTCCTATAGTTATTTTCTGAAATCGGACACATAATAGGGAAATTCCAGAGGCAGATGTTGTGGAGTGCAATCCTAAACTTTTTCAAATTGGTGAACTTTTTTGTATCAGTTATGTCATGCAACTTTTCATAATTTGGTTACCACTAAAATAATTTAGCTATTGTTGGTTATTATTTTAATGTGTAAACTAGCCAAAAAGTTTGTTTGGGTTATATATGGCTTGCTGAGAATTTGCAAGTGTATAGAAATCTCTAATGATTGACTTTTTACACCAGGACAAATTTAAGTTTGAGATGTAAATCCTGGAAAAGTTTTTCCTAAACTGTGATTAGTAAAACTTGCTATTAATTTTGGCCAGGGAGGGTAGACAGTTCTGATCACATTCCCAATTGGCTCTCTACCCTGGCTGCCCAGGACACAGGTGGCTCTGGTGGAAGAAGGTCACTGATAGGG